TTCTTTTAATTCCAACTTTTAACCTAACTTAAAAATTTAACAAAAATTCCAAAGCGTGCATAGTGTTGAACATCATAACGGTAAGTACATTTTATACTTTCTGCATTTGATATTAACCAGATTTGAATTTAGTTCAAATTTTATTGATGTACTGTACTTATCCAATTAATTTTAATTTAGTCTAAATGATAACACTAACTAACGTCAATCCACTTTTGCATGACCTATTTTTATCAAAAAATAAATTGAGAATTGAATTTTTGCTTTTGACGACATAATCTGCATTGTAATACGAACTATGGTATTACTATATCGGGCTAATATTCAATAAAATTTCGACCAATGAAACTGTAAACTGTTTTTTTCTAGCATGAATGAATTTTATTTTTTATTTACCTGCTAAAGACAGATGAATCAAATAAACCTTGGTTTTATTGTTCAATTTATGAATGTCGAATTCAAAACTCAATATTTTAAATTTCGGATCCCTTGCCGTATTGATGGTATCGGTAATAAAATGAATTATTATTTAAATTATTAATCAATTGATTTGGAATATATTGCAAGTGATCCTAAATTTCAAATAAAATTTTCTCGTTTATTGAAGTTTAAAAACATTGGTCTAGAACTCACTAACTCTAACCGAATTTAGTATTATTTAAAATGATAATAAAAAAAAATTGCATCAATGATATAGAATGAAAAAAGAGACTAACAAAGAAAAATAACAATTATTGAGTTCAAAAAAAAAAGAAAAACGGTTAAACCGTTTTATATTCTAAGAAAGTTAAAAACCTTGTTATATTTATTTATTATGTTGAATGAGATAAATTCACGTAATATTCAAAAAAAGATAATCATCTGCGACCATGCTTGCATTGATGTGGTAAAGAATTCATTCATATATCAGTACTGCCATTATCATCACTATCAAATCCCTTGTTGACCTTTGTTTTATGACGATTATGTATCTTTAGTAGATCGTCCGTCGATAGTTTAAGGAAATATCACGGACCAAGTACGTACATAAATTACAAAATATGCGTATATATTTTTAAAAATAGTATTTCCTAAATTGTGCACAATTGTAATTAGAACATAATGTTAACACCAATTAGAAAAAAACAAATAGCAAATCTTAACACAATAGTTAACCAGATTTTTTATCCGTAAGCTTTGTTCGTACGTACGTATTCTCTGACGTATATTAGTTTTATGGGATCACTCTTGTTTCATCCATCCCGGTACCTTGTTTATGGGTGATTTATGCATCGAATTTGATCGAACAGGGGAGTTACACTGTCGTATGTTAAAGTTCAAGTAAGCCTAAATCCATATATAGAAATTTTTAAATCGCAATACTAGGACACAAAACACAATTGAACTCATATTAAGAAAACAGTCTCTGAACCGGATTGTCGGTAATACCCCAAAATATAGATATTGCAGAAAACAACGATAACGAAAAAAGATATAATTGGTTATAAAATGAATTAACGGAGTTTGTGCTTAGCGTCAGTGTTGTGTTGCAAGTTAAACTATAATAATGCATTTAATGTTTGTTTTTCCATTAAGTATGTAGTTTACGTGTATAAAAGAGATAGGGCGAACATCTCGGCAAAAATCTCATCCCTATACATCGTGAAAAAGTTATTAGGGGATCCCGTTGCATATACGTGCTCAGTCTCAGTTCTCACCTCCAAAATAGTTTTTGACTCTCGTTGATCGGGTCATCTATATACGAACTCTCATACCTAATTCCTTAATTCCCTAATTCTTTAATTCCTTTTGACACTCGTTGATCGAGTAACATTTACTGTAAATAATCGAAATGTTGTCTCCATTTTCTCCTTATTCTACGAAATGCTTCTACAACTTTAGTACTTCAAAAAATCAAGCTCAAAAATCTCAACTCACTTCAACTTTTTCATCTACGAAAAATCTCTTCAACCTTATTCCAAATTCTCAAATTCCAAAAACTCCTACGACTTCTATTTCTTCCCCTTCGAGAAGTCTCTTTAATTTAATCGTAAAACCTCAAACTCCAAAACCTTTAGGCGATTCACAAACTTCTACTACCAAAAAATCAATTGATTCTATGGACACTCAACAAAATCAAAAAAAATCCAATAGTAGCCTACAATTGCATAATAAAGACTTCAAGTATTGGGGAATCGAAAACGAATATGGTGAAAAATTTTATTATATAAAAGAAGATGTCTATGTTGCTAGAGTTGTTAGAGGTCATAGAATTTACATTCAAGGTGGGTACTACGAACAAGAAATTAATAAAGAGATTGAATATATGCAAGAATTGGCTAAAGGTTGTGATAACATAATCCAATAGTAAGTGTTCTTTTTTAAACAAATTATTCGATAGAATCGAGTGCATTTACATATTTATTGATTTATTTAATAGTTATGGATATGTTACAAGAGGTCTTTATTTCTACATGATTACCGGTTGGGGGGAATTCAAGCTTAAAGATTTACTTTTGTCTGAAAGAGGAAAACTTGATTGGAAGCAAAAAGTTTCGATTGCTTGTGGTATCGCTAATGCTCTACAACATATTCATCAACAGGGAAAAATGCATTATGATCTTAGTAGGTGACGTATCATAAAGATGTAATAAAGGCACCATAGCGATAGTCGATTCTTTTTATTTATTTATAAATAACCAAATATTTTTCATCTTTAGTGAGAACATCTTATTGACTGATAACCTAGAACCAAGGCTTTACAATTTCCGTGTTCCTGGAGGATCATCATCTACTGACTGCCTTACAAGGTATGTATATATAAGCCACATTATCGTTATCTGCTTTTTATTCTTATCGTTATCGTTATATTCCTTCATATCAACAATCAATATATTTGTTGATTATAGATGGTCTGCACCAGAGGTCTGGACATCCAAGATACATGAACCCTCAAGCGAAGTATACAGCTTCTCAATAATCCTTTGGGAGTTATCAGCTGAAAAGTTACCTTTTGATTTGATATCTGATGAATATATTTACAAAATAGTCAATAAACGTCCTAAACCTGAATCAATAGCAGGAACTCCGATCGTTTATCAAGATTTAATGATAAAAGGATGGGTACAAAACCCTGATGATCGTCCAACAATGGATGAAGTTTTTAAGAGTCTTAAAATTCTAAAATCAGATTTTAAGAATGGTCAAGATATTAAAAAAGTTTCCGAAACTTCTTATTTTGCCAATAAATTTGATATGACATTTAATCAAAAAGCATCCGAAACTTCTTCCTTAACTAACAAATTTGATACGGAATTGGAACTTGAATCTAATGTATTATCGAATGAATGGAATGATGATTCTACTATCTTCGTTCCTGATTTTACCACAAATCCAACGAACCGTGATGATTTTGATTTTAACGATAAGACTCCTTCACGTACTTTATCTTTGAATTCTGTGTCAACTGTGTCACAAGATCACCTTTATTCTGCTATCACATCTCCAAAGTTATCTTCAAAACCAGAATTAACGACTTCTAATGAACCTATCATCAAACCACCACCTACATTATTACATACTTTGGAAGATGCCATCTCTCTCTATAATGAAAGAAAATATAAAAAAGCATTTGCAATTTTTAAGGCGCATTCTGAACATAATAATGATCCTATCGCAAACTATTGGGTTGGATTATTCTATTACAAAGGACATGATGATGGAAAACCGAAATTTAAACATAGTGTAAAATATTTATCAGAAGCTGCTGAAAAAGGACATTCTGATGCTCAATTTTTGTATGCCAAGTTATTATTTACGGGATATTCTGCTGAACGTCATAAGAATAATCCAATAAGTATTGGTGCAGAAATGTTGAA